GGTCGAGTTGAATCTGTTTCACTGGGAAACTCGTTACCGGCTTCCGCATTATGACGAGTGGCGTGCTGCTGCCACATTCCTGCGCGTTACACGCTTCCCCCCCTCTCCCCTTCTCCCCCCGAATTCGGCTGCACTGACTTCGGCGACCACGTGCAGGTCGTTTGTCCAATCCGTTTTCAAAGTCGATTTCCCCCCACTCATTTTTACCCGGTCGCCGGCGTAACGAGCAATTTGAAAACCGGTAAACTCGTTCCTCCGAGCCAATTTTCAACTTCTTGCATCCCGAGGATATTGGGGGACGGTTACAACGAGACGATTACGTATTTCGACGCGTATTATTAACGTGTATCGTTTCGCCTCGTGTGAGAAGACGGGGTTGAAATGTTGCGAGAGGAGAGCCGATTAGAAGACGGGCGGTAATTTTAATAAGTTTTAAGAAATTTCGGCGGAGCAAGGGGAGGAGGAGGAGGAAGGGAGAGGACTTTTCGAAGCGGAAAGGGCGAATAGGAGAGCGGTAGAGGAGGTGGAAATCGACGGGCGTCGGACAAATTGAGTAAAGTTTCGTGGTCACCACGGTCAGGAATGAAAATTACCCTGAAATTAGGGTACACTAATGGCCTAGGTAATTGATATTGGACACGAGCCTGGCTTACTCCGCCTCTCCCATTGCCTATGATATGATACATGCTGTTTCCTATACATCGTTACCGTAAATGACCTAAATGCTTTTAACGCCTGTACAACGAACGGCCCACTCGTCCCCATCCCTGAATTATTTCGGGCTTTACGAAGAAAATCGCTCGTTACTTGTTATCTGATTAATCCGTGATATCCGTGAATTTATCGAGGATCCTTTTATCCTAAATTTCCAATGCGTCGAGTTTCCCGATGACACGGTTATCTCGAATAGAGTGTTCAAAGAACATTCTCTCTCTCTCTCAAAGAAAACCGAGAATAAGAATACTTGCCAATACCATTAAACGTCCCATTAAATATCTTCGTTGAATAGATATCGTTAAAAAATCTATTTTTTTACTGATAAAAATTCGAACATTTTCAAAAGAAAATCTCGTCAAATCCTTATGAATATTATCTTGTGAATAGTACAAAAAAAAGAATCGTTAAAAAATCTATTTTTTTATTGATAAAAATTCGAACATTTTCAAAAGAAAATCTCGTCAAATCCTTATGAATACTACTTGTGAATAGTACAAAAAAAAAGAATCGTTAAAAAATCTATTTTTTACTGATAAAAATTCGAACATTTTCAAAAGAAAATCTCGTCAAATTCTTATGAATATTATCTTGTGAATAGTACAAAAAAAGAATCATTAAAAAATCTATTTTTTACTAAGAAAAATTCGAACATTTTCAAAAGAAAATCTCGTCAAATCCTTATGAATACTACCTTGTGAATAGTACAAAAAAAAGAAAAATTAACACACACGATTTATTCCCACTATTACATTCTTTATGACGGAGGGGTAAGGTTAGTCATGAAACCTAGGGAAGGTGGATACGTCGGTTCAATGACTCCGTTCAATTTTTGAGCATAGGCGAAAGCATGAGGTATTCATTGGCTACTTTAGCACGACGCTAACTGGTTCGGGGCTGCTACCATTGAAATACGACGTCGTGCGGCACTGCTTGGCTGCCTTTACGGCCGGGAATCCCGGATCGGCCTGAAATTTTCGGCCTGAATGGCCGATTCGATTCTTCGTTCGAAACGCGCGACCAACCTCGTTCAACTTTAACTCGCGTTTGATAAAAAAAGAAAGGAAAAAAAGAAGGGTCATTCGCCTGTAGCGAACGCACGCACACACATACGCGCGCGCGCGTGAAATTTATGGACAGGTATGGGGGCGAGACCTGCCGTTCTTTTTTAATTAAACTTTTTTCAATTTCAGATCACATGGATGAAACGAAAAAACAGGCGGTTGTTAACCGTGGGCAAGAGCACCCACTCGGTCGACAAACGATTTGTCGTGATTCACTCGAGTACCGATTGGTTGCTGCAGATACGAGTGGTTACCGTTCAGGATGAGGGTATATACGAGTGTCAGGTATGCAAAGACGGGTACGCGTTGTAATATAAAAGGGCACACGTTCAAAATGGAACGGTGTGCTTCATTCTGTTCGCGCGGAAACACGCATACACGTTTATTTCGCAAACGTAAAATAGGGAGGATATTTTAAATTTACAACGGGCCGTAAGTTTTATGGGACGTTTGTTCTCGCGCGCGTAACGAGAAAGAGGAGGAACACGAGAAAAGAATATTTCGGCGATGAAACGAACGAATCTCTGAGTCTTGTCAAACGCTTTTCCCCCCGGACGACGCCGCGAAGAATATCCGTCGTTGCCTTTAATTTTTAAGGCGAGGACACATATTACATTTTAAAAGTAATTCGAAAACTTCTTCTCTAGCCTATAAATAATTTCGAATATTTCTAAAATTTTCAGATATTAAACGCGTCATCATCGTAAGCGATCGATGTATACGATATAAACTCGAGGCCTGGAATAATTTCGAAATCGTGATATTCCTCGTTCCTCGTAAAGAAATAACATTTTTTCGATGGCTCGAGTTAGATATTCAAATTAGAATACGAATATATCCGCACGAGTGATACAATCGAAAGCATTCACTCGGAGATGAAATAATCGATCGTCGAAATTTCAGATTACGTCGCATCCGGTGCAACGGAATTTCGTGCGCTTGAAGATCACGGAAGCGTACTCGATCATACCAGGCGCCCCCGATTTACACGTGAAGCAAGGCTCGAGCCTTCGATTGGAGTGTCAACTGAAGGCCGCGGCGGAATCGCCCCTCTACGTCTTCTGGTACCGCCAAGGGCACATGATCAACTACGACGAGGAGCCAGGCGTGAAAGTCGAGCTGACCAAGAACGGATCGATCCTGATGGTCAACAAAACGAAACCCTCGCATGGCGGCAATTACACTTGCGCGCCGAGCAACGCCAAGCCTGCATACGTGATGGTTCACGTGATCGAAGGTGAGCGGAAATGAGAATGAAATCGATTTTTATTGAGTTAATTGAGAAAAAAATTCGTTGCAATTTCTTATTAATTTTATAGAAATAATGTTGAACGAATCGACTCTACGTTTCGCTTCGATAATGTAGTATCGCAAACGTTCTTTCCAATGATCTTGTTTTCCTCAAGATTTGACAACAGGTTGACAGATTCAATTAACGAGAGGCAGAGAGAGTTCCGTAAGCTAGAAAGACAAAATCTTAACATGGAATACCCGTGGAGGTGGAGAGAAACGTTTCGTCTTACGTGCGGATACACCGATATTTCGAATAGCTCGATAGAAATCCGGGTGTAAAAGCAAGATTTGACGTTACTGCCCCTCGAGCATCTCCTCGACCAGGTTGCCGGTATTCCGGAGATCGTTGCGCGCGTGACCAGACTACTATTTCTACTACTATTACTACGGAGACGAAGTTCGAGGAAGACCGAAGATGTAAAAAAGAGACGAACCTCGTCTCGTCCGAAGTTCTAGCTAGCTTCCTGTGTCCGACTAGGAGTCGAGCTCGTTTAAAACGTCGTAGCCGCCCTCAGGGGTATTTTACCGCTCCTATACGAAAATATCTTTCTCTCCCTCTCTCTCTCCTTCTTCCAGAACATGGAAGAACGTTTCTCGACCACTAGTACGTGAAACGTCTCTCTATCTTTCTCTCTCTTTCTCTCTCTCTCTATCTTTCTCATTCCAGTTCAAGCAGAACGATTCTCGCGAAGAAGGAATTTCTTTTTTGCAGCCATCGAGTCAGAGTTTCTAATCTCGTTTCAGAGGAGGAGAAACCGGCGGCGATGCACGGCGGAGACAGGAGGAATCTTGGGCCGGCAATTTCGGCGAGCAACTTTCTGGTGTCCCTCCTGGCGGCCGTCAGCTGGAGGATACCGAGTTTCACCAGCCTCTACCCGACATGAATCGCCCTCCAACTTACGGGGCGGGGGAGGCGACTGGTGTGTTAGTCGTGCCGCCCCGCACCACCGCAAACCCGGTCCATCTTCTTCCGCGAGGATGAGTCGAACGATCGGTCGGTCATTCGGGACTCGTCTTTTCACCTCTAACTCCCACGATCGATCCCACGAGGGCGATATTCTTTTTTTCGAATGCCGCCGTCAAACACGTTGGAACGTGTCGTCGTCGTCGTCGTCGTCGTCGTCGTCGTCGTCGTCGTCGTCGCGTGTATTAGTTCGCGTATGAACACACGACGGAACGAAGCGTGGCCGCCACTTTCGGCGGGGACCCTCTTGCGCGTACACCCGCCCGATTCTTTTCAACCATTGTCCGGGGAGAAAGAGACTCGCGTCCTCCCTATTCTCGAGGGGGGAATGCGACGTTCGATCGCGAGGGAAGGATTTTTACCCAGCCAGAGGTATCCTTTTGTTTCATTCCCTTCTGCCTTTTATTCCACCCTCCACCCTTTTATCTCCTCCTATTCTCTCTCCTATTCGTCCCTGTGTTTCCTTCATTATCTCGCGATTTCTTTGTCCCGCAGAAATAGCCGAGCACCGTCGGAATAATTTTCTCTCTCTCTGGTTTCTGTGGAATTGATCTAGAAGTATGCGGTAAGATACGTTTCGCTTTTAACTCACTCTCTCTTTCTCTCTTTCTCTCTCTCTCTCTCTTTCTCTCGGAAATAGAATGACGCGCGACGCGGAGCTCATACGAACGACTTCCTCCTTCTTCTTTCCTCTTTTTGTCCTTTTCTTTGTAAAGGAAGAGAGGATAGGGGAACCTGTCGATTCGAGGATCATCTTCTACTCGTTTAGTAGTCTCTGTCGTCGTTGTACGCGATGAGTGAAGCGTTTCCTTCGTACATACGCGCGTTATACGTATGCTATGAATGTACACTTACACACATACACGTGGAATGGGCGTATTACGTACAATATATATATACATACACACACACACAGGTAGCGTATAAGTAACACTCTCTGGACCCGAGATGAACGAGCACGAGTTACGTTCTGTGACGTGAAAGTGGTTCTTCCTTCGATCCTCTGTCGAATCTCCGATATCGAGTGTTGGAGATTTTTTTCTTTTTTTTTTTTTTTTTGAAATAAAATCGCGAAAGCTCTCTGTCCTCTTCGTGATTTTTCGTAAAGTGATCGCAAAGTGAATCGATTTTGCTGAATATATACCCGTTGTCGGAGATTCGTGACAGATATTCACGCGATTCGCGCGTTTATCGCGTCCATTGAAGTGAACGGAATCAATGTAAATATTACATCCTAATTATACATTCAATAAAACATTAATCGTAAAAATTCGATCGATATTTTTCCCATGGCTCCTTTTTATCAATGTGTTCAATCGATAACTCACTCACGATTCGTTTTTTGTGAACGTGTTCGGTCGATATTTTTCCCATGGCTCCTTTTTATCAATGTGTTCAATCGAAAACTCATTCATGATCCGTTTTTTGTGAACGTGTTCGATCGATAATTCACTCACGACTCGTTTTGTGAACATATTCGATCGATAATTCATTTACGATTCATTTTGTGAACGTGTTCGGTCGATAATTCACTCAGGATTCGTTTTTGTGAACGTGTTCGGTCGATAATTTTCTCACAACTCGTTTTTGTGAACGTGTTCGGTCGATAATTCACTCAGGATTCGTTTTTATGAACGTGTTCGGTCGATAATTTCCTCACAACTCGTTTTTGTGAACGTGTTCGGTCGATAATTCACTCACGACTCGTTTTTTTGAATATATTCGATCGATAATTCATTCACGATTCATTTTGTGAACGTGTTCGGTCGATAATTTCCTCACGACTCGTTTTGTGAACGTGTTCGGTCGATATTTTTCCCATGGTTCCTTTTTATCAATGTGTTCAATCGATAACTCACTCACGATTCGTTTTTGTGAACGTGTTCGATCGATAATTCACTCAGGATTCGTTTTTGTGAACGTATTCGGTCGGATAATTTCCTCACGACTCGTTTTATGAACGTGTTCACAATAATTTCACTCGTGTCTTCACTTTGCGAACGTGTCGAGTCGAAAAATCGCGCGATACGTTACATCGCGACGCGTCGCACCGCGAAAACTTTTCCAAGGGACAAGTTTACCATTTGTTTTCATTGTTCGATAGGTAAACGATGAGGCAGGAAATTGAAGGTAAAGTAGCACGATCACCGTGAAATAAACGACGCGAAGGAAAAGTTATTTCACGAAACTCCGTAAGGAAAGTTGTTGGAATAGCTTCAGCCCGATAAATGTGCACGGCTCGCCCCGCCGCGTTATCTATCTCTCCCGAAGAGTCTTCGAACTTTACGCGAGCTTTAACACGCCAGTGGCAAACGTTATTACGAGAGTCTTCGTTATCTCGGCTTGGAATCCTGTTAAAACGGATTAATTCAACCGCAAATTCGGTTGGAGAAATATCGAAATCCGCTGGGGGGAGCTCGGATAACGACGGCCACTAACATTACTGCAACCGCGGAACGAGCTTCTAAGAGCGGTTCTAGACACGATTAATCGATAAGGATATCGAACGCGAAACCGCGTGCGTTTGCTGAGAAGAATGCCAATTTCGTTCGTAATCGATATCGGATAAAATTTATTCCATTTGTTCAATTTTTACTACCTCTTTAAAATATCGACATCACTTTGTTACTTTGTTTATTTAACGATCTTACTTTGATTCGTATATTGCACGATTTACACGATTTGATTTAACGTTAATTAAAAATATATTTTTTTCCAGATAACAAAAGAACGGATAACAAAATCGATAAATTATTAAATTATTCTTTGCATCAAAAATCGTTTTTTTTTTTTTTTCTTTCTTTTTAGCTCGAGCTAATTTCTCGAACAAATCCAACTTTTTGTTCAACGGATAAATTTTCGAAGATTCATTCTGAAGAAACGATGATAGTTCCTGACACGTGGAGAAGATACCAAGAGCAATTAGCGCGATAACGAGTTAATTTAGGTTATAAAGCACGTTTAAAACTGTGTAACGCGGACCCATAGTCAGCGCCGTCACGAGAAGGTACCGCGTATCACCGTTTTTCTCTTGCTTCCACTTCGAACCCATCCCCCTCCCTCGTGTGTCCCTTAACCCCGTTTTGTTTGACCCGACCCCGTGCGCTTTCTCGTCTTATTTTCTATCTGACCGCGCAGAACTTTCGCGATAAAAGCACCCGAAACTCTTTTAACGGGTGCTAAATTGAAACACTACTGCAATAAAGAGAGAGTAGCGACTCGTTCACCAAAGAGCGTTCTTTTTTCGCTTGTCAGCTTCAAACATTCATAGATCTTTGGAACTGAAGGAAAGAATCTTTCTTTCGGGACAAATCGAGAGGTAAGAGGAATTGTGAGAAGAGGAACGCAAGATCTATGATAGAATGCGAGATCTATGATAGAATCGTTTCGTCGATTCTAAATGATGAAAATCAAAAAGCAATATGGGAAAATATGGATAATAATAGTATTATTATTAGAGAGAAAAGTATATAAAAGAAATTTCATCGATTTATCGATATTATTTTCTCCAAGTCAATATCCAATTCCAATTTCGTTGCTGTAGAAGTGTTTCTATTATTTTTATTATTATTATTATTTTTATTATTTATTTATTTATATAGCTATTTAAAGTTTCAAAAATTGAATTAAATGTAAAATTAGGTTTAAATTCGATTTAGGTCGATTTACATTGTAACCTCTTTGAAATGGAAATATTTTGTAAATAAAATCAACCAAGGCTTTGACGCACTTTGGCCCTCGTGGTGAAAAGGAAGTAATAACACTGAAATGAAATTTTTCATTTTCAGGTTTGTAATAGGTTTCTTTAACAGGCTGTCCGCCAACCTGTCCCAAGACGTGGAAACATTACTCATTTTATTCCTCCTTTTTTATTTACTTCCTCATGAAATTTATTACCGTTACAAACAAGGGAATTAAATGTCACGCACATTGTTTAATTTTCAAAATTTCAATTCCATTGAATTAATCAATTAATTAATTCAATCGCGAGAGAGGATTTCTCGAATCTCGTTACGAATTTTCGAAACTTAATACGAGAAGTTGGACAATGGTATCATTGATTTTTTGAATCTGAAACGCAATTCTAATTCACAGAATTTCCAGAACGTAATAAAGGTCGAGAAGAATAGCAATGAGACGAGACGTTAGCTCGCAATATTTCGAATTCGAATGAAATCCAGTGATCCGCGATAAGGCGAGATGCTCACCTTCGGTAAGCCTTTTATATATATATATATATAGGGTCGTGTATAGTCTGTGCATAGAAGAAACGCAAGTTCAACGAGGGCGAGAAGGGATAAAGGGGACGATGAAACGTCCCGGTTGCGGAATCTCTACCCAACTTTCTTTCGAGATAGAGGAGCCAGAAGGGAGAGAGGTATCGAGAGGACAGAGTTAGAGGTGTTCGAGAAAGTTTGAAATTTCTTCAAAGAAGTGTTCTGTGAGAGTATCTCGATAAACGTGCACACGTAGCGGGGTAATTCCAACAGCATCCTTACTTTTCCATTCTTCGAGCGCCCGTTGCGGACTTCGAAACGACGAAAAGGCAAAATCCAGTTGCCTCTTTGTCTCTGCTATCACGTGAAAACAATAACTTTTAATAATTTCGAGTCGAATCGAATCTGATCGAACGAAGAATTTTTACGAATTTTTAATGATTCGAAAGGATTACCGAAATTTTTTAGAAATATTTCTATTCGAATTAAAAATCTGGAATACTTTTTAATAATAATTTTAATGAAAACGATTGCTTTTAGGAATGTATAATAAATTTATTTTCTAGATCCAAAGTTCGAGTAAGATCGGCAAGGATCGAGAAGGATCGAGTTGCATACCGAAGATTTTTACATTCGACTAGATTCGGCTCGACTCGGATAAGTTGGGTTTGCGTTGTAATATATTTTAAAATCGAATTCGAATTGAAAAATCGAAGAACTTACGAATTTTTAATGATTCGAAGGGATTATCGAAATTTAAAAAATCTTATCGATTTTATTTAAACTAAAAATCTGGGATATTTTTTAATAATAATTTTAATCGAGATTAAAACGATTTCTTTTATGTATAGATGTATAGATAGAATGTATAGATAAATTTATTTTCTAGATTCAAATAAGATCGTATCATCAAATTAAGGTTCTTATTCGACTAATCGAAGTTGGATTTATGTTGTAATATACTTTGAAGTCGAATTCAGATTGAATCGAAACCGATCGAATGAAAAGCTTACGAATTTTTAATAATTCGAATGATGATTTTATGTAAAAAGTGAAAATCTTTCTTAATAATAATTTTTTTGCGTTTGCACGACGCTTACGAACGATTTAATATCTCGTCGATAATAACTTACGATGATTCTAGTTTAATTTAATCTGAAAATACTTATAAACGAAACGTACGTTCAATGACGGTCCATAAATCCAATCAAGAAATGAATTTGTGCGAGTAGAAGATATTTTTGCGTGGACAGCGTGATACAGGTAACCGTAGCGGATGAAATCAGTCTCGGAAAAGCAATTTCTGACAAACTATTGGTGTCACGAGTGCAACTTTAAAATGACGATAGGATCTCTGGGAAAATTCGCAGAGCGTAACGAAATGCAAACCAGACGAGACGAGAAAAAAGTGGTTGGCAATCATCAGACATAGTAATTATTCAAGAAATTATTGTTTTTATATCTCATGTTTACGTATAACAATATCATTCGGTTGATTGTTTTTTAAAGTATCGAAATATTTATTTATAGATTATTATTGATATCAAACGCGTACATTTCATTTATTTAATGCAGGTCCCCTTTCACAACAAGGGATTAAACAAATAATATTGAAAAACATCAAATTTAATTTCATCAATGCCCGAATATTTATTATACGAATAAGTGTGTACAAAGTATACGATTACTATTGATATCGAAAATTTATGAAATCGATTGAACCGTAAGCATAAATGATTTTGTTTTTGTCGCATCGTTTTATTATTAAATAAAACAAATATCTACTTTTGTGCACGCTCGAATTCATTTTCGATAAATCGGTTAACCGATGGGCAAAATGAATTATACTGATTCTGAATAATAGATATTGAAAGTGGTCATATAAAATTGATCGATAAAAAGGATGTAGAAAAGAAAAAAAGGATTAAATGTCATCATCTGCAAAATTCTTTGAATCGTATCATTAATGATAAAAAAGAATTATGAGCGATTTATCACAAAAAAAAAAAAAGTAATTGAAATGACCACTATTACGCGATCCATTCTCCGTATT